CAGGTCCCGTGTACACAATGGAGAACAGAAGCATCTAAGGCACCTCTAAGCACCTCAAATCTGAACACTTCCTGAAGATCATTTCAGAGGAGTCTTTGGAAGGCTTTTCCTTACTCAGTGTCCTCAGGCATACAGTTTCTACAGGCTACTCTCTCTCCCCACACCTGCTCTGCAGCAGTTTGTGTTTTGCCCCCTTGGTTTCAGGATGGGATCCCAGCAGTGCCTCCAGCACATGCACACCATGAGGCAGTGGCAGATTGCCAGGCATCAGGATTGGCTGGTGGTCACCTGCAGGGCAGAACAGCCCTGTCTATTTTAAGCCACTAGAACGTGTCAGAGCACACCAGGGTCTTCAGTCCTGGCCAGAGTTGCCAGGAAGGCCACCAGACTAAATCCTGGTCTTGTTGCATGGACTGTGCTTGTTCCCAGGGAAGTCCTAGTTTTCTACCTGTGGTAGAGCAGATTTGATGCTTTATGCCCTTTGTGAGAGGGGAGAATCCAGCCCTTGAGGGAAAAGGAGTCACACAGAGCAGCAGAGTTTGCACTGTGAATTTTTTTTCTGTGGAGAAGTCACAGGCACAGTATAAGTGTGTTCTCATTCTAAAGATGATTCCTGCACACTAGGAGCTGTATCTGACAGATCTCCTGTAGGAAGCTGGCCCCATTTGGGAATAAACCCACAGCTTAGTTACCTTGCTTGCAAGACAGAGACATTAAAGATTTAAAACTTTGTTTAATGAGAGGCTTAGTTCCCTGAAATGTCACTTTCTTGCACAGAGTCCCAGCATCTTCCAAGTGCACCTTGGGACATGGTGGTGCTGGCCACAGAGTTGCCTGTGCCTCAGATCTGTTTGTGTGAACCCTTAGGGAGCCGCACTACAATAAGCAAACCAGCCTGTGCTTTCTCACCAGTATAAGCTTTGTACAGTGTTATCCCTTGGCTCTTCATTCTCAGAGGTACCCATGGGTTCTGATTTGTTTTTTTCAGCATGCAGGAGTCTATTTTGGCCCAGGTGCAGAGAGTCATTAAAGGAGAAGTGAGCCTGGCTATGAAGGAGCAGCAAGCAGCTGTCACCTCGAGCATCGTCCAGGCAATGCGCTCGGCAGCCGGGACACCCATCCCCTCTACTCACATGGATTTCCAGTCCCAGCAGACTCACATCCTTCAGCTGCTCCAGCAGGGACACCTCAACCAAGCTTTCCAGCAGGTACCTCCTTTTCCTGGTAGTCGTCCACTGCTTGTTGGGGACTGAGAAGGAAAAAAAGGCTCCTTGGGGTGGGCATGTAATCTCACAACAGCTTACACAGGAGTTGACTGAAAAGACCTGTGGCAATGGAGTGCTTGAGGGGTGCAGTTGCTCTCATGCAGGTGGAGCCAGAGCCATGCAGGTTCTATGATTTGGTAGCAGTAAAGTTCCTTCATCCCTGTCCATGTCCTGTCAGGACAATGTCAGTGCTCCAGTAAAACCAGCGTGTTCTGCCATCGGTGCTGACACGTGGCACCCCTCTGAAGAGCAACAGCTTCATAAGCCTCTCCAGGCAGATCTACCAGCTGGGGCCTGACCTTGCCTCTGACTTTGAACATGCAGGCAGATCCATGTGAGCTGCTGCAGACAAACTCTTCTGGGAATGATAGCGCTGCTGGCCGTGTTCCATGCTGCTGACAGTAACCTGCTCCCCTCTCTTCAGACACAGGTGTCCTCAGAGCATAGAGCAAGAATCTAAAGATGGCCCTGCTGGCCTGTACAGCAGAGGTGCAAAGATTTTTGCTCCCAGAGGAGGCTGTTAAGCCATTGAGCATCCCGGAGTTGTCACTCTGTCCTGTGTCCCTCACCTGCCTGTAGATTCCTGTGCATTTTTAGCTGTGTCTTCCTTGCAGGCTCTAACAGCAGCTGATCTCAACCTGGTTCTATATGTCTGTGAGACTGTGGATACTCAGCAAGTCTTTGGACAGCATCCATGCCCGTTGTCCCAGCCTGTGCTGCTCTCCCTCATTCAGCAGCTCTCCTCAGATCTGGGCACTCGTACAGAATTGAAGTTGAAGTGAGTATGACCAGTGAACTGGGTCCTGTTCTTAGCTCTGGCTTTCAATTCACTGCCTGGAACTGGAAGATGGAACTTCAAGAAAAGTTGGAGTTTCTGTAGCCAGTTACTGGCATGTTGGCAGTGGTAACTCAGAAAAATATGCAGGATTGCCACAGAAAGATGTGCTGCCCTGAGGTATAGTGGAAGGAATACCCAGCAGTAGGTGCTGGTACCTCTGGAATTGTAGCCTGTAAATATTTGCAGCCTGTGCAGAGATCCCCATTCCCCAAGGAACGATTTCCTTGGGGAGACAAAAGGAGGGACAGTGCCACGTTCCCTGGATAGCGTAATATCCTGGGCCAGTTTGCTCTGTCCCCAGCTCTTAACCCATCACTGGACTTTGTGTTGGCAGTTTCTTGTCGTGACTGTCAGGCTCAGTGGGAGGCTGCAGCAGGAGCTTCTGGTATAATTTCTGGTGGATGTTCCAAGCAAAGCTTGTGTGACAAAATAGTGACTGTACTGATACTTGCCATGAACATTTTTAGTGTCTGAGTCAAAACCCTGCTATCTGCCCTTAAAAGTGAAATTGTTAAGGTACCTACAGGTTTTGACTATGGCTTGTATGGAAAAATTACTTAAATTAAGTTTTTAACTCAATAAGGATGAAACAAACTAGAAAAACTGAAGAGTTTCAAGTTACAGTCAAGTTTCAGGCTGGTAATGGGGGTTAAAGCTGCTGCATTGTTACTGCAGTTGTCACATTTTCTCACTGTAGAATTGGAGCTTCCTGAGTTTCAGAGTTTCCTGTTGGTAGAAATGTTGATCTCCCACCACTTACTTCCTGTTAAAATTACTATTGTAGCCCTACACAAACTGAGCCTCACTGCTGAGAGGTTTTGCTGCCTAATGAGTGATTAATTCTGCTTTAAAGGTATTTAAGAAAAAATTTACTGAGAGTTGACCTCCAGCACTGTCGGGAGTTCTCACTGGCTGTTGCCTCTGCCTTGGTTCCAGCAGCCAGCTTGTGGGGCAGATGGGCAGGCTGGGAGCTGTAGGCTGACCTCACATGTTTAGGAAGGGATAGGTGGACTCTGCTGTGAGTCAGGAACATTTATTTCGTGACAACTGAATATACTGCTGAGTTTGGGTGGAGTGGGGAACAAAACTGTGCATCTTCAGTGCTAACATGAACTGATTCAGATTAGGATTGTATTCTGGGTTTGGTCCTAACCTTGCTCTCTCTCCTTCAGCTACTTGGAGGATGCAGTGATGCACCTGGACCAAAGTGACCCCATCACCAGAGACCACATGGGGTCAGTCATGAACCAGGTGCGGCAAAAGCTCTTCCAGTTCCTCCAGGTGGAACCCCACAACCCTCTGAGCAAACCTGCACGTCGCCTCATGATCATGCTGCAGGGCCTGGTCACCCCTGGCATGACCTAGGAGCACCTGGCTGCCTGGTGGGCTGCTCCACCAAAGCCCACCCAGCAGATCCACACTTACTAACAACGTCTGGCTGGTGTTAAGAGCTCTTGCAAGAAAATCTATCAGCACGTGTGTGATGTCTCTAAGGCGAACGCCATCTGTGTATAGTTCCAAATAGTCACTGAACATTCACTTGGCTTATTTTTCCTAAATAGCCTCTTTTTTGAGAGTTAAGTCTCTTCTTCACCTGCCCATCCGTCCCCAAGGCTCGCTGGCAGTCCATGTCTCATGCAGCAGAAGCCGATGGATTTCTTAGCCCTTTAAAAGTTTGGATCTGCTGCCGTCGGCAAGGGAGCAGCGAGGTGTGATCTGAGCCCGAGCACAGGGGCTGCTGGTGCTCCCTGCTGACCAGAAACCTGTACCCACACCTTAGTGAAGGGCTCCAGCTCCTCCTCCCTCGCAGGATGTAGGCACAGGGGGGAGGTCAGCTGAGCGAGAGGGGTTAGTTAAAATTCATTAATTAGTTAGTTACTCTGAGGTTCGTTAAGTCCAGATCCACAGTGGAGTGCCCAGCCCACCTGACGCAGCGAGGCAGGTTTGGGCAGGGGTGATACCTCTGGAGTGCCCCAGTGAGAGGCTCTGGGTCAGGGTGCTGAGGCAGCAGCAAACTGCAAGAGCCCAGGGGGTCCACTGGTTCTGTTGTGCTTCAGAGCATGTCTATGTTTCAGACATTAGTTTTGATTTTACACCGAGGTTTTTCTTTTTATCTAAATTTTGAAGTTTTGGGGGGTTTTGTTGTTCGTTG